GTAGGATGACCACAAAGTTCTCTAACTTCACAGGACACAGGACAAGTAAACAGCTCATTCCAAACATACAGGTTAAGAACAGTGTCTCCAATAGTAAATCTAAATCAACAAAATGGACCTAAACCGTTAGAATTTCAGTAAGTGTCACAATCCCCAACATGATGCATAAGGCTCTGCAAATAAGTTTCCATCTTTCCAGTAATATATCAGTGAATAACAGCTTACATCCTGTGCAGTCCTTGAGATGTTGACCTGGAGCTATGACAAAAGGAAAGTTCAGGGCTGCCCTGGGGACAAAACTATATGAAATTCAATGGTTATCTGTTCATGAGTTTTCAGAATAATTTCTTTGCACCAAAGTATTGGACAGACAGATGGAGCGATGGACTGACTGACTGTGCATCACACTTTTTTCCCCTTTCATTTCATCACAATTTGTACACATTAAATTTGTCTTCTTTTACAAGCGAGCCTTCATCATCCCAGACAAATGATGCTACAAGAGGTACACCTGGTTCTGTGTTCCTGGCATTAACACAGAACAACCCTGCATGAAATCCATAGCCGGCAGTGTGAAAACAAGAGCTGTGAAAAGAAGAGTGCCAGAGATGTGAATTGCAGGATTTTCTGTTCTCTGTTCAAAATTCACCATATCAAACTCACAGAGTATAACAAAAGAAGATTTTAGCAACATTATTCAAATAGTATAGTGGCCACTGAGGAGAGGCAGAGAGATGCTCTGTATATGTCTTATTTAAGTAAGTCCTTACAGTTCAACACTAGTTCTGTCGTTCATAACGTTTTTAAAATATATTTTCTTAATGCTTGTGTTTTGCCTTTTTCCATGTCTTTTCAAGGTTCTAACACATTTCCCTACATCATTCATGTTCATGTGGTATCAGAATTTGGAAAAATGTGTTTCTAACTGGGAAAATGAATGTGTATGCCATCTTAAGTCAGAGCAACAACAAGAATCGCTGAATTTTTTTATTAATTAATTATTTTTTTCTCAATTATGAATATTCCATGCAAACATTGGAAAGAGATATCAAGTTGTTTAAGTGCTCTAAATACATAAATATGAAACATTTGTTTAATGCGTCATTGATTTTCCACCAAGCACATGAACACACCAGTCAGAATAGTGATACAGTAAATGTAGATGCAGTGTGTTTGAGCAGTGAATTAACCTATTATGTATCCTTTAGCTTACAGTTCTATTTTCTATATATTGAAATATCGTTTATATCTTCTGTCCATCCAATCCTCTCTGAGGGTTGCAGGTGCTGGAGTAGGAGTAGTGTGTGAGGTGGGATAAACCTGGACATGGCGCCAATCTATCACAGAGCTGACACACAGAGACAAACAATTGGTCAAGCTCACATTGGAAAGGGCTTGGTTGGTTGGCTTGTTCAAATCCAGAACCTTCTTGCCATGAGGGTACAGTGCCAAATGTAATGGACATTTTTAGATCTAACTATTTGGCCTGAATACTCTTAGTATTGTTATTCAGTGTTTACTGTTTTTTTACTTAAATCTGTGTTGCTGGGGAGACCGAGAATATGAGCAATTTCAATTCCTCCATATGTCTGTGTATGTATTGCAGAAATTGACAAAAAGCTGACTTTGACTTTGACTTAGTGAGGTCAGTTCAAACAGCCTGAATCAGCATTAAGCTCGACTAGGAATGATTGCTTGGGTGTAATACTGGGGAATGTTTGTGAGCTGTGAGTTGAATGAATCGGGTGAACTTTTTGATCAAATACACAGAGTCTGTACACTTAGGAAAGAGAGATCAATGTCCAACTCTTTCACCATGCAGCAGGACTCGTGATCATGGATCGATGTTGATGTGACTGCGGACAGCTGTGTTTTCTAAGCTTTGTGTATAAAAACCAACTCGTCAGAAGAGACATTTGTCAGATTCTAGAGCCTGCCATGGCTTTAAGAACTCTGGCCCTTATAGGGCCAAATAGTAAAACTGTAACTTTGTTTGTGTTCAACATACTCTGTGTGATTTCACTTCAATCAGTATTAAATACTTTGATTACAATTATACAGTGTAATTGTTTATTTCCTCACCAGGGAATTAAATGCAAATTCCCACCCAGCGGCAGCACCAGAAAATTATTATTGGGGGGGCAATGGGGGGACCTGATTGTTTCTAGGAGGTGCTAGTGAATTCTGACCAAACAAACACCAACAAATAATACTATCATAGATATAGATTTACTGTTCCCAGGCTAATACACTACATATTGTGAAATGCACGTTACTAAATGTTTATCATAGAACAACACAAGCATATTTAACAACTTGTATTTAATGAACGAACAAATGCCAAACAACAAGCACAAACAAACAATAAAACTCATAGCCACCACAGAGAACATCTGTGGATTTACAAAATACTGTAACTGTGAGAACTGTACTCTCCACTCTTGTCTTCCTCTCTACTCCTCCTCTCCTCTTCTTCTCCTCTCCACTCCTGTCTTCCTCTCTCCTCCACTCTCCACTCCTGTCTTCTCCTCTCCACTCCTGTCTTCCTCTCTACTCCTCTCCTCTTCTTCTCCTCTCCTGTCTTCCTCTCTCCTCCACTCTCCACTCCTGTCTTCCTCTCTACTCCTCCTCTCCTCTTCTTCTCCTCTCCACTCCTGTCTTCCTCTCTCCTTCACTCTCCACTCCTCTTCTTCTCCTCTCCACTCCTGTCTTCCTCTCTCCTCCACTCTCCACTCCTGTCTTCTCCTCTCCACTCCTGTCTTCCTCTCTACTCCTCTCCTCTTCTTCTCCTCTCCTGTCTTCCTCTCTCCTCCACTCTCCACTCCTGTCTTCCTCTCTCCTTCACTCTCCACTCCTGTCTTCTCCTCTCCTGTCTTCTCCTCTCCTGTCTTCCTCTCTACTCCAGTTTTTAATCCATAAATATTTTGAGGGGAGGGGGGGCAAAGAGTGGGGCGCAGCCTTTGACAGGAGTGGCTTAAGACCCTGCTTGCCCCCCCCCCCCCGGCGACGCCACTGTTCCCACCACACCAACCATTATATTTTGTGTTTATTATTGATAATGCAATGAATTGCCATTGTCTGCTCTTTGAGATGTGACTTATTAAAGTGTCCATCAATCTGTACGGGTTAGATGGTAAACTGTCATTATGTATAACGTATGGGTGTGGTGTCCATTCTTAAAACGTTTAGGCAAAGTCAGATCACCAGGGATCAAAACATAGTCATAGTCATTGATGTAGTAATTTCATTCATTTATTAATAATTATATTGTGCTGGATTGTTCTGGTGATCAGCAGCTTGTGTGCCCCACAGGGAGCCATTCGTTCAGCAAACACAAAAACCTGCATTATGCTCAAATGACACGTTTTTAAATGTTGACTGCAGGCATCAGAGAATTTAGAGCAGTCAAGAACTGTATTATTATGTTAAATGAAAACACATTCAAGTGCAACCCTGATCTTAAAATATAATGTGATGTTGTTGACACTATGTTTTAACTGAGCTAAACGTTAATGTCCACATGTTAATATGCGCTAAAGCACAGCAGTAAACACAAGGTATAGCTGGTTCTGATGGCAATGGAGAGGTTCTATGGGTATTGGGTGATAAACCAAAACAATTGTGTCAATGTTAATCTCATGGTGCCAGAGAATAATGCAGGGAAACAACAGAGTAAGTGAGGCTCATCCTCTGGGACCATAAACGTCATAACTAACCAAAATATTAATATTACACATATCAATAATATCAAAGCTTTCCGTTTCAAATCAGTGAAACCTGAGGCTGAATATTAACATATTCAAGTTCATTCAATATTTCACCATTCAGAGTTTCAAGGGTCTGCGTGGTGGCAAGCTTGGAAGTGTAGCAGCCTTTTAATGAGCTCATTTCTCCTCTCACGCCGCTCCCCTGAGTAAACACAGGCATGAAAAATGAAACCAGAAACATATGGCTCAAACTAAATATATGATTCTTTGTATTGTAAACAATAAGAGAGCAGTCTCCTGAGGAAAATATCATGGACTGCTCTGACTCCTGTTGCTGTGGTGCAGTCCAGCTTATGCACACATAAACAATGTAGTATTATTGGGGGGGGGGGGTTCCCTCAAGAGTTAAGGATGGAGTTCATATATTACTTGGTGCTGGAGAGTGTTGGAATGCCACAGGGTCCAGACTATGAGACCACAAGAGGGGGCAGTGAACGGGAGTCAGGGACTTCCAGTCAGTGCAGCTCTTAATCACATTACACACCAACCAATCAAGCAGTTTTTACACATTAAATCTATTAATGTATAAAAGTTAAATGAAAGATACAATTGATCCCACTACTGTATTATGAAGTAATACAATTGTTATTACTATTAAAATGTATGAATTCTCCTGTGTCTGTGATGTTTGCTGGTAAGGAATAAATGAGATAACGGGTATTTAGACACGATGCTCCTGTTGTCCTTTCCATGCTGTCAGGCTGAGACTGGATGAATAACGTACCTGGGCTCATCCATAGTCATAATTACATAGAGGCTGTCTATTGGACGGGTGCGCAGCGGCTCGCTCCATAAACTGGTGAGCAGCCGCTCATTGTGAGCAGAGGAGCAGGAGAAGAGCGCAGAGCCGCAGAGGGAGAGGGGAAGGAGCACAGCTCGCTCAGACTGCACGTGTGACTGCTTTAGGAGACACTTACTTGTTCTCTTTCCTGCGCTGCGTTGTGCGTAAAAGGCGCGTTTTCATTTTTACGCATGGACACAAAGTGTAAGCGCTCAATAGGTTGGAATTTAAACCACTAAAATACTTAATTACTGAACTGATTATTTCCACAGTGACGAATTCAGGAACACCTTTACAGTACCGTGCACGGTAGATTGCGCGTGCAGCGCTGAAGCTTTCTGAAACTTGCAATCGTTGTTTTTACCTTTGGCACGGGATCTTGAACTTTGCTGTGTTATGATTTAGATTTATATTCTGTGGTTTAACGTGAGCTCCTGAATTAAACCGCTAAAATGGATCCTTTATTTAATTCAACCGATGTGCCAAATTGGACCACCAGCCCCAATGACACCAATAACGGGACTTTTTACCAGAACCAGTTCGTACAGCCAGTCTGGAGAATCGTGCTCTGGGCCATTGCCTACAGTTGTATAGTCATTGTGTCCGTTGTAGGGAATGTTACAGTGATCTGGATTATCATGGCGCATAAACGCATGAGGACCGTCACCAACTATTTTCTGCTGAACCTGGCGTTTGCCGAAGCCTCCATGTCCGCCTTCAACACGGTCATCAACTTCACCTACGCCGTGCACAACGAGTGGTACTTCGGACTGGTCTACTGCCGCTTCCACAACTTCTTCCCCATCGCGGCTGTGTTTGCCAGCATCTACTCAATGACTGCCATCGCTGTGGACAGGTAGGCTACGAGTTATCCAGTGTATAAGAGGTATAAGTACGAGAAATAGCAAAATCCCAGTACTGAATAACATGCTTCAAACCTGTGGATCACCCATACTGATCCACATTCAAACAATAGGCTACTTAATGTAAAGGCGTTTAAGAATTCTTTGAGAGGGAACATTAAAACCATTATGTAGATTTATGTGTTGCCATTGTTCATGGTCCACTAGAGAACATTCTGAGACATTACAGTGCTTCCTTGGTTGAAGATGACTGTATTGAGGCTGCATGCTTTTATAATATAAAAAAGAAATCCAAAAAATAATAAGAAACTTATTTTTCATTTACTTCCTTATAACTGTAATTGGTTGAATAGCTGCAGCTATATGGTCTGGTCTTGTTTCCATATGTTGAATGAAGCACAGTTAGTGGAACAACCTCCTACCAACAGTCACATAGAGCTAGTTACTCACCTGCTTGATCAAGTCCTAAACAAGGCTACAGAAAGATTGGTTTTATGCCATATACTTCATACGGAGTGAATCTGCTTCGAAAATATGGGATATGGGGGATTTATGTTTTAAATCTAAAACCTCTCATGCTCTGAATGAATGAATTCATCAAGGGAAGGGGTCCTTATAACAATAAGACTGGATTGGAAATGAAATGCGTAAAAAAACCCTGTGCGTGTGTGTACTAGTTTATTAGTACGTGATATTGATGTGCAGGTGTCGTATTACTAAATATAGATACAATTGTTAAAGTGATGTTATAGCCATCCACAGTGGAGCTCTGATTAATATTTGTGTGTTTCAGCATGTGTGTATGTGTGGTATGGTGGCTGGTTGTGTATGCCTCTATGCATATATGCAAAGTATGTATGTGTTTGTTTCATTTCTATTTCTGAGTGTGTGCATGTTACTCTGTGTGTGCATATGAAAGTGTGCACAGCTTTGTCAGTAGATATTCCTTTATTTACATCATGCGTCATGTGTTTGTGTGTATGTGTGTGCGTGAGTGCCTGCAGGTGTGTGTTTCAGCCACTTCTTTTGTACCTGCACACAGAGCTGTGTCCGTCCTATTGCATCTTCTTCCGTGTCTCTTCTGCCTCCACAGTTCAGCTGATAGATGCTTGTAATTCCTCTGCATTTCCTCCTTTTATCCACAAAGCAATGGACTTGACATTTCTCCCATATCAGGTTAAACCCTCAGGGGTATAGTTGAAGTTAGAATGATATTGCGATAGCAACAGGCCACACGCACCATATGCACTCAATCTGCTCATTGTTAGTTTACCATTTAGCCCAATTACCTGTTCACGCTATGTAGAAATCTGCTTGTTCTCCCTTTGACCGCTGTCTACGCCAAACACTGATGAGATTAAACCTTTTGTACCTGTTTATTGTCGAGAATGATGGATGGTAGAATAGAAAGAAATTTGCTTACTGTGGTCACTTGCAGCTGTTTAGGCAACTACTAATATTTCACATTTTCATTTTCATTCACTGGTAACTGTGAGAGCTTAAGAGTTCCCAGTAGACATCAAATTGATATTTGGTAAATAGAGCAAAGCTGCGGGATCCCTTCAGAGCGGATGGAGCTCTGTGCTGCTGCTTATTAGACATTTTTTAAAACTCCATCTTTGCTGTGATCGTTCCTGTGGTGCTCTTGCGCTACACGAGCCCATAAACCATAGATCATCTATCCGGTCCAGCACCGATGCCAGTGTGCACGGTCTGATGCTGATTGAATTGAGATAATTGAGAAAAATCTATTTTATAGAAATATGTACCACAGTACCCCATAAACCAGACCAATCCGTGAGCTCATATGCTCCTGTAGATGGCTTCCTGGCTCCTGGTATGATGGCTGATAAAGGAGCGCTGCTGATGCCTTTTTCTCTAACAACAACAAGATGGCTTCTGCTGATGTGGCGAGGTCTGTTGAATCTTCGAGTTGCATCTGTGATACGTTTTCTCTAAAAGAGCAACAAACAAATGCACTCACGTCACCTGTTGATATGTTACATCACACGTTTTCTTGCTCTGATTGGTTGTTGCTCCATCCAATTTCATCCGGAGGCATTCTTGCTGGCAACGTTTATTAAAGCCAGGGAATTGAAAATGAACTGAGCCATTCCAGACCCATTCACAAATGCCTGTAGGTGTGAATTGCCTTATTAACACCTCAACTAAATCAAAACTCATGTGGCTCCTTTAGAAACATTATTTAGTATTGTTACCTGTTGGTCTTCTGTTGAAACTGGGTTTTCTGGGAGTGGCATCACATTTCTTAAAAATGTTCTTAAAAATGTTCTTAAAAATGTTAACATGGCAGGAACCATAAAAGCTAAATGTTTCTTTATGGTTTGCATATAGGTTGATCATCAGTATTAGATTTAGTCACTCACCTCATTCATCAGTTAAATTCAACCTTGGTTATAACATAGACATAACAGAGATATTTACCATCCATTTAATAACCACTCATCCCTTGAGGGTCACAGGAGGAGCTGGAGCCAATCTAATCTGGCATTGGGTGAGGGGCGGGGTCCACTCTGGACAGGTCGCCAGCGTATCACAGACAATAAAAAGATGCTGTAAGCAAGTTAACAGTTGACACACAGTCTGTGGGAATGTATGGAGTTTGTTTCCTATCTTTAATCAAGAGGCTGGTCTTTCCTATCAAGCGCATGACTTGTTGAATTTATGTTCAGAATGTGCATTACTTTTCATCCAAACCCTGCCCTTGCACTAAAATAGCTCCTGTTTGCACTTAAATTTGCTCTGCTTCTGCTCAAACTGTGTGCTTGCACTCAGATATATTGTTGCTCGCACGGATATTCTGTGCTCCAGCTTCAGCCCTTCTCCGCACTCGGGCTGCTTCCTGTGCGCTCGTGAATGAGCAAGCACTTTGGCGACTGTGGAGAGGAAAAACTTCAGCAGAACAAAACACGATGATCATTTTCTCTTATGCTCAGACCTCACCAATGCTGGAATTCATCAGGTCATAGTTTGGCTCTGAGGAGACAATTTGAAATTGCTGATGCTGAACATTCAGAGCTGGGATGCATTTTTAAAGTGCCCATTTGATGCATATGCTGAATGAGACATATATGCAAATGGACATTTGTACATAAAATTAGCAAAACGTGATCTCATTTAGAAAAAGCAACGTTTAGACCCATTAGAAGTTTCTTGATGAGAAAGAGCTCTCAAAGACATCACTGCTGTGTGAAAATGTAGCATCATTTCTGTATAAGGCACAAGATTGCGATGTTTGCAGCCATCAAGGGCACATAAAAGGAAAACCAAATGAAAGAGTAAAAATCAGCCATAATAATAACAATAATTATCATAAATCAGCAAAGGATCAGATTTGAGGTCCTCTTTGAAAAACCTCTGTGAAGCTTCATGCAGCTTTGGTGTAACCTGTGATTTCATTGTGAAGGTGTTTTGGTGAACATGTGTTGCAGAGCAGTAAAGAGAAGTAAAGCCTGGCATTGAAAGTGTAATACTTGTCTGACTTACAAAGACAGGTGGTTAAAAAAGATAGCACTCACTGACATAATCATAGCAGCAGAAAGCAGCACCACACAGAGCCTGGCAGCCTGCTAGGGAGGAGCCTTCTTAATATGAGAACAACAAAAATACTCTATATCTAACAAAGTTCAGCCCCAAACTCTCATTCATACTTAATAATTATCCTTAAGATTTTCATGACCACAGAAACTAACTTTTTGATAACATTCAAGGCTCTGAAAACTAAGTCTCATTAAAAGTGTGAACTCCAAAGTCACCGGATGTGAATCCAGTAGAACCTTTGTATGTTTGTATTTCAGCAAAAATGTGCATCTGAAAACTCTGCAGAAATGATTTGCTTTGATCACTTAAACATGGAGTGGAATCTCCATGACAACCCATGTCATGAAGAACAGAAGCTGTTTTGAGAGCAAATGGAGAAACCAACCAGTGTTAAAATTCTGTCCCAGCTATCCAACCATCCATTATCTATTCCAAGTATCCTTTCGAGAGCCACCCTCTGAGCTCACATTGGGCATCATTGTGGAAGACCTTTTGTCATCCAAGTCCATCAACACTCTGAAGCAATTCAAATTATTGCCTCTCGTCCGTGGAATTAAAACTGATCAGCCCAAGCAGGACATTCGTCCTGTCTAAACTGGTAAACATCCTCAGGTGGAATCTGTGGTTGCTGCTACTGTCAGATGATGATAGAACCATTTATCTCCTTGCACCAGAATCAATATCCTAAAAAGGGGAGAAGAATGTTGTAATTAGTACCCGCTCAACTAGGCCTGCTAGTTTTAATCACAAATAGTTTTTGTGAAACAGGTAAATCAAAAGATGTGAAAATGCAAAATCAGTAGGAGAGAGACAATATTTTGGGGCCCTGAAGCCGTGTGGTTTCTGTTTGTAGTTTGACTTATCACATTTGCTTTGGTTGTTGGCAGGTAAACTGTGGAGAGCAAAAGAGGTGAAACACATTGACACAAATGCATTGGCTTTTTAATGTATCTGTATTAAAATGCACATAAATATGCAGTAAGCTGAGAATAGAGATCAGAAAAAATCTAAAATCTAGAAAAAAATTCACTGTATGTTCTTTTATGTGGAAAAACGTTCAACTTGTGTGATAAAAGAAACTAGTCAGACTCTAAACAGAAGACAGATATATATACTGCAGGCCCCAAAATATCAGCCATCGCCCCCAGAGGTGAATTCCTCATCAGATGAAAGCTGATGGACTCTGAGATTGCTTGTGGCCAGACTGATAGAAGAGAAATGTTTGTGCCGGAGAAACAGAATCATGAGAGAAGACTAGTTCACTTGTTACATTGTAAAACCATGCAGCACATATGGTGGTTGCAATTAATTTCATTATAATTAAATAAATAAAAATAACGATAAAAGTGGCTCTTTATAACTCAGTGGTAGCCAGATTCCGCTTAGATGGGATCAACAGTGGTTCTTATTGCATTCTGAAAAATTAGTCACA